TGTTCCGGTCCACAGAAGCGCAAGTGTGGAAGCACGACGATCCAAGTTACCCATTTACTCAGAGGAACAGGCTATTATGGAAGCAATCAACGATAACTGCGTAAGTTTGCCGTAAAAACTCATTCTGTTATCGAAAAAAGCCAGTTTTTTACAAAATATGTTTCAGGTTCCTCACATCGATTGTTTAAAAAATCCTGATATTCTCGGACAAATCCAGGCCAAAATCCTTCCCCCCACTCTCAACCCCCCTCCCCGTCTTTTCCTCTTTCTGTGACGGACAAAGGCGCTAGGAAGTAGCTGAGGGAAACAGGCGTCAAAAGCAGTTATTTGCAGGCATTTTATTAAAATAATAATTTTCGAAATGATTCATTTCTGCGCGGCTTTAGGCCACAATCATCTGTGGTGAGACAGGCTCCGGAAAAACCACTCAGCTGCCGCAATTCTTATACGAAGCCGGTTTTGCACGTGATGGTAAACTTATTGGAATCACGGAACCTCGACGAATTGCTGCAATTAGTATGGCAGTTCGTGTAGCGCAAGAAATGAGCTTGCCCGATGCCGTCTCATATCAGGTGTAGTATTTTAGATAAAGTTATTTTTCCAAAAGTTATTTTAGATAATTTTTTCAGCAATTTGAAATTTAAAAATCATTTTATTTTTTAAAAATTTCTGTTTTTTCGAATATTTTACTACTGAAACGAAATGATTCCGTACCAATGATGCATGGAAGTGCTGCTAGTATAGTTTGGATCTAGAACTGGCAACTTACCCATAGATTATATTCGTTTCCTTTCACGGCCACAGCAATTCAGTTATTCGAGCTTGTGAATCGATCCAGTTTGCCGGGAACCTTGCTGTTGTTCTTGTATGACTTCGTGGGTACCATTCAAATTTTTTTTTGTCCATCTGTTTTCTGACATCCTTGCCACATGACCAGTCTCAGTTTCTGGACCTAACATCTCGTCATCGCTTTAAGCTTAATCTATGTTAGCACTAAATAAATTATTGGTTAATGATGGCAGCAGTGAATTTAGGGAGCATAAGAGAAATGAGAGAAAGAGGCCGAGGCATACTTGGAAGCTGTAAAATTTGTCAAAAATATGGATGGAGGTAGATTTCTCTAAAGGCAGCCAGTGCTGCATCTTGGCACAGTAAAATTTCACAGAGTTCGGGGAAAAAAAATTTGTTCATTTGCAAAGATGGGGAAGTTCTTTTTTTTTTGCTTTAAGGGGATATGATGTTAAATGAAAATTGGGTATTTTAAGATTAAATATGAAGGAAGTCGAACAGCAAACACGTCGATACTGTTTATGACGGATGGTGTGCTGATGAAGGAGATGCAAAAAGATGTCATGCTTTCGGCTTATTCTGTCATCATTATTGGTAAGTTCTCTGGAACTGTAATCGAAAGATAGTGCGATTTAATTTCCCGATTTCTTGGAGTGTATCCATAGGCGGATCCAGGGCGACTTCCTGGAGAGGGAAAGGGAAAGGGGTAGGTCTCCCAGCGGCGACGACGGTGGGGGAGTTCCTGGAGAGACGGAGGGAGAGGGCGAAAGACCGGCCGCTTCCCTCCCCCACCCCGCCTTCTCACCGTCCCCTCTCTGGATCCGCCGATGAGAGTTTCTCGATAAAACTTGTAAAGCGGTATTTGCTTGTTGGCATAACCACCCCAGGAGTACGGCAGCATTCCGATAATATCACTACCACGGCTTTCCCACATCGATTGGATGGGCTATTTCATATTCTCGGTGTTTTTTGACCCAAAAATGGAAGTTTTTAGATTTTTATTCACAGGAAGCGAGAAATTTACACTTTGTAAAGGACAGGTACAGGAAACTATACAAGTGAAAATTTAAATAGGCCAGAGAGAGGTGCGGGGGAGGGAGTGGGTGAAGCAGTGGGAATTTGTCCAAGTAAATGCAGGTTTCAGTTAATTAGGTGGCAGAGTCC